AAGCCCCTGTGGCCTGTCCGCACGGGCGAGCATGGGCGGGTGGAGAGGGTGTCAGGGGCGGGCAGACTGTCCGGTGAATAAGTGGTTTCCCAAGGTCTTGGTGTCGCTTTTAGGAATGTCTTCCTCTATGGACGCCGACCAAGCCCGTTCGTGTGTGCAGGCCTTTCGAATCCACCTTTATGGAAAAGGTTTCCAAACTGCAATAATGACGCTGCCTCATAACTGTAAGCAAGCAGGCCAGGACACAGCATGAATGAAAAAGTATGTACACAGCTGCCTTTAGTTTCGCCGATATTTACCAAACTGTCATGCACGCAAGGTCTGGCTACAGGGCGTGGCATTTGGAAAAATGGTTCGAGCTCCAGCGTTCCGAAGCTTGCTTTCACTGGTTCGGTCGTGCAATTCATTTCTTTCCTTCACTGGATTTAATTTATAGTCATTGAGCTATAAAAGAATTTTAACCAAGGCGCCACGAAGAGAAAATGTTTTGTTATCATAAATATTCATTAAACCTGACAAAAAAAATGTGTGTTTGATTAAGAAAGTGTATCGACTGTCATTCTTCTTTTTATATTAACTACCAACTGCATAAATTTCACTGACCCGACCATTCGTCATTACAGCTTATCGATCTTTCCTTCCACATCCCCGTCCTCTTTTCCTCTAAGATTCTTCTCTCTCCTCTGTGCCTCACCTTTCTCCACGTTTAGCCCTTCCCTCCCCCTTATGTCACCCGCACCGAGTCACCCTCTCTTAGTTTTCTCACCCATTTATGTGTAACATAACCCATTGTTGAAATATTAAAGGAACGGTAATTAGCCAGCTAATTACCTTCATATTACTTTCACAGGAAGCGGCAACTTCGACTCATTCACACAAATCTGCTTCGAATCACTAACGCAAACAAAAGATCGATGTCCGTGACTCGGCTTTGGCCTCGTATACATTTCTTTCGACGTTGTACCCCCTTTTTTATACCGAGTCCGCTTGTGCCACTTAAACTTAATCTCTAAACTCTATTATTAAACTCTATTATTATTATTATTATTAAACTCGATTAGTTTAGAGTTTAAGTAAATTAAATTTGTTAACAGGTGGTTATACGCATCCATATCCCTTTAGACGGCCACAACCCCCTACGGCGTCGGATCTTAATGGTCAAACACAGCTACTTCAGGCAGTTCCTTGAGGATCTCGACCACAAGCCATGAACATGAGTTAGCCGAGTTGTCTGTGAACAAAGCACCGTTCCCTGTCCGTGGCATACCTCGACGTTTTAACTAACATCTAGAATTATCAAAGAAGAGAAAGTAAACAACATTCGTGAGTATCGTGCGATTTAGGAACAAATGAATGTCTTCTCAGAAAGGGGACCGATAATATAAGTGATGTTATCAAGCCCGAAAAATGCGTTGATTGTTTTCTTAGTCTAAACCTTCATCTATAACATCGATATGTTCACGTTAATGCACTACATCCATAAAAGAGAGTCTAGTAGCGTGACCATATCGATATTTATATTATAGATGAAAGTTTGAATCAACAAACCATTTAAAAGGCATATTTCAGGTATTTGGTTTGAGTACAGCGTTGGAAGTGCGCAAGAGTATAACCATAAAAGGAATTTAATTGCAATTAAATCTGTAAATGTTTACGGCGATGTCACTGGATATATCCAGTTGTAAAACCATTATTTTCTATTAGTGTAATACAATGTACTATTAAAATTATGGGATATGACTGAAACTATTATTGCTCTAGCAATTTTGCCATAAATTGTTCACACTCACCCTGATACTTTTATACCCTATATACAAGCATTATAAAACTCAAACTATATCAAGCTAAACCACTCTCTAATACCCTTTCACAAACGTTCTAATATACAGTACATGCAGATGTTTCACAACCAGTGAAACTTTCAGGAGACACAGACGCGACGAACACACAAAGCCGCTCTACCTCTTTCGTTCCCACGCACCGGCACGCACTCCGGTGTTGCTTTCAAAGGCAAGCATTTTGAAATTCAGCTTCCTGTCAGTCATGCATATACACATAAATACACACACACACACACACACACACACACACACACACACACACACACACACACACACATATATATATATATATATATATATATATATATATATATATATATATATATATACCATGCATGTATAGAGAGATATGGATAGCTAGGTATGTGTATGTATATTATATATATATATATATATTATATATATATATATATATATATATATATATATATATATATATATATACATATATGTATGCATATGTATATATATATATATATATATATATATATATATATATATGTGTGTGTGTGTGTGTGTGTGTGTGTGTTGTGTGTGTGTATATACATATAATGCGTGTGTGTGTGTGTAGTATATATTATATATATATATATATATATATATATATATATGTGTGTGTGTGTGTGTGTATATGTATATATATATATATATATATATATATATATATATATATATATATATATATATATATATATATATATATATATATATATATATATATATATATATATATATATATGTATATGCATATATGTAATATACATATATATATGAATTTATATATATGTGTGTGTGTGTTAAGTTTCCTTTTTATCTATGAGGGTTGTTGGATTATATACATTTTGCTTTGGTTTGATTTTTTTCACATTATCATATTCATTCTTATTGATACTATACCTCTGTTTTTGTGATTCATTTTGCATGCTCTAGGAATTTCATGAAATTGATTTTCACAGGTCGAATCAATAAAGGATACGACACCGTATATATGTATCATCATCTGGTGGCTAACGCCGACGGGGGCGCATGCCGCATCCACCCTTTGCTTCCACCTTTTGGGGTCCCTCATGGCAAACCGCCATGCAGGGACTAGGCCCATCTCGAGCTCCTCACGACAGGTTTGATCGATCTTCCCAAGCCACGACCTCCTAGGTCATACCACAGGCCTCCACCAGGGCTGTCTCGTACAGAGACAACCTCAGTGTTGCTCCACAATGACTTTGAATAGTAGTTTTGCCCAGTATCCAGTCCATACAAGTATTGAAAAGTGTTGGTGCAAGAACACAGCCTTGCCTCACTCCTGAACTAACAGGAAAGAGTATACAGACTTGCTATTAGTCCAATAATCCTTGTTGGAATTCCTCTCAGTCTTAGGATCTCCCAGTGATTCCCGATTCACCGTATCGAACGCCTTCTTGAGGTCGATGTAGGCTGCGAGCAGCCCACGCCCGAACTCGCAACGCCGCTCAACGCCGCTCTACAATGATTCGAAGTGCAAGGATACAATCTATTGTGGACTTACCAGGAGTGAATCCAGATTGCTCCGGCCTATGATGCCTCAGTAGGTGGTCTCTGATACGTCTCAGAAGGATGTGGGCGAGAACCTTGCCTGGTATTCCAGAGAGGGATAACCACACCCCTCAACAGGTCAGAGGGAATGATACCGGACCGCCAGATGGCAGCCAAGACAGCATGCTACCCACGGTATCAGCTCCTGAACCATGAGGACTGACAGACATCTCATAGCCAGCTCGATCACAGCCAGATACCGCACTGAAGTCACCCAGGACAATACAAATATCCCACCGGGGACACCTGTCTGCCACAGATGCAAGTTTGGCATAGAAAATCTCTTTCACGTCGAGTTTACAAACATCGGTAGGAGCATACACAGCAATAAGAGACATGAAGCCAAATGCTTCATATATATGTGTGTGTGTGTGCATATATATATATATATATATATATATATATATATATATATATATATATATATATATATATATATATATATATATATATATATATATATATATATATATATGTGTGTGTGTGTGTGTGTGTGTGTGTGCAAATATTCATGTATACATATATGTAAATATATATGCATATATATGTATATATGTATGTGTGTGTGAGTGGATGTGTATATGTATATGATATGATATGACATGTATTATATATATATATATATATATATATATATATATATATATATATATATATATATATATATATGTATATATATATATATATATATATATATATATATATATATATATATATATATATATATATATATATATATATATATATATATATATATATATATATATATATATATATATATCAGACACACTCAGATATTATTATTCGATATTCGGTGTCGTCATTATTGATAATATCATTATATTATCATCCATATCATCAAGTTTAATGTCTACTTTTTCATTGATCAAATCATCATGATTTTCATTTTTATACCTTTATTGTCATTATCATCACTGTCGTTATCAATATAAACAACGGATTTTTAATTGTTTATCTTTATTGATCTTATCAGTTTTATGACCATTGTGTGTGTGTGTTTGCGTGTGTATGTTATGTGCGTGTGTCTTTGTGTGTGTGTGTGGCTGTGCTTGATTGCGTGTGTGCGTGTTTGTGTGTGTGTGTGTATGCAGACACATGATGACAGAATAAAGTTGACATGTCCATTTCCCTGGCTTCAGGCTCTCGACCCGACATCCATTTCGTTATTTTCCTAATTTCTTTCTTTGCAAGCTTTTAAAAGAACATTAGCAGCCTTTTATTTACTCTTTCATTAGCGTTGAAGTCGACGTTTTCACTCCAGTAGTGAGTGTTGACTTTGGTACATTTTAAAGCCTTATAATTTCCATTTGCCCTCATTTCTTATTATCGTTATCATCAATTGTTATTGTTGCTGTTGCTATCGTGTGCGTGTGTGTAATTACGAGTGTGTGTGTGTGTGTGTGTGTGTGTGTGTGTGTGTGTGTGTGCGTGTGTGTGTGATTATATAGGTATCTACAGTGACGATTTTTTTTTTTTTTTTTTTTGTCTGTTCCTGCATACAAGTGCGCGCATGTATGACGTCATGAGTGGTGCTGGGGCGCTGCGCATCGTCTCCATGTGAAGTGGAGATAAGATAAGATTTGTGAAGGCGAGATAAGATAAGATGGATGAGATGCGCAACCTTGAGCACCTTTTTGAGACGTCGGAAGCCGAAGATCCACGCATCCACCCTGACGAACGTGGCAGGTACTGTGCGTTTTCCTTATGTTGGATGTCAGTGTTATCGGTGTGTACGTATTATATTAGCGTTATCACTGTCGTTTCCCCGACTCATCTCTTCCGTTTTGTCTCAGTTACACTTTAGGTTTCATTCACTCGCATTCTATAGTTTAAACATCGTGAAAGGCGCTTTGGACGGAACATTATGACGAAGAATGTGTCAGTAGTCGAAGATTTGCTTGGATGTTTAACATTTTTCTTTGATATAGATTATGTAAACATCGCGATTTCCTTGTCCACATCATACCCTAGGCCCGCCTCTCCCAACCCTGGGGTCGCCAAGCCCTCAAAATATCAGACGTGGTCAGTTCTCAATCTTGAGATGATTTGGGTAGGCTTGTAGTCCCATATTGATTGAGAATTAATAGCTAAATTTTGCTTGATTATTACACAATGATCTAAAATGCAGTCGAAGAAAAATCCACTGAATTCTTATGAAACTCGAATTGAAGAAAATATAATCGTAATTGTTGATTTTTGTTTATCGAATTATTTATGTTT